AGTCTTTCCAGGAGTTTCGAGTGACAAGAAATGCCAGTGCAACTTAAGCCCCGATAGTGCTGTGATCCATCAAAAGGCAGTGAATGTTGGCCAAGTACACGAAATGAAGGACACAAACTTAGTGTTATGGAGACAAGGATGGTGCGGTGGACATTGGGTATTACCTTGGTGAATCATGTCTTTAATGAAACAGTTCGAGCTAGGATGAAAGTAGCCCATCGCCAAGAAGATGTAGGAAAAGCGGATGAGACGGGCATTTGAGTAGAAGAAATGAGACTCACATCACAAAAATGGCAATGTCTCTGAAGGTCGCTGGAAAAAGACCACAGGGAAGGCCAAAATGGGTGGATTTACAGAATCAGCGCCGACTTCGCCGACTTGAGAGAGCTTAAGATAGATGAACATAATACCTTGAATCAAGAATAATGGAGATGGCACTCATTCGTTCAAGGCATGATGTTCATTTTTTTGCTCACTCAAGTCGGCGATGATTCTGACCTTCTACCTCATTTTGGCCTCGTACGGCAGACCCTGCCCTGCGTAAACGGGAAAATGCGAAGATAAAAAAATGGCACTAGCAATATACCATTCTAGATGTCATGAAAGTTGCTAAACATTTCAGAACTGTTATTCGCATACCAAATGAATTGTTTCTTTGTATAATTGCCACTAAAAAGCGATGATTGCCCCCGGAGAAGTGCGTCGATGATTTTGAGATGTTTGAACAAAAAGTTGAAACGATCAGCAATGTTCTTGTTTTTGTAACTCATTTATGATCATTAATGAAACGTACTTAACTCCGAATTGGAAAAAAAAGGAGAAAATAAAAATCTGGTAAAACAAAGGTGGATTAGGCTGAGCAAACACATACCTCCGATCCAGTTGGTCGAAGACCACCGAAATCCACATAAAAGATTCTTTGCAACACCTGAATATGGTAAAGAGATAATGCCAATGGAATAGATTAGGTAAAACAACTTACCTCGTATGTGAGTAAGGTCACTGCAAACTGTGGGCTGGAACGACAAACTCGGGCTGCTGTTCCTTTCCAGAACGCTGCTGGACCTTCTTCTACCATGATTTTACGAGCACAATCTAATGAAAGGACCATTACGATTTTGGCTGCTAAAATAAAATTGTATTCACTCACCAATGACTCCAGAGTAAGTGGTCTGTCCTGCTCTCGCTGCGACTTGCAACCTCGTCTTGATTACATCCGCAGGTGTTACCAGACCAGCCGCCGGAACACCGGCTATGAAGGCGGAAGCAAAAAGGGAGCCCGGATGATTGATGCCCTGGAGGCTTAAATGTTAAGAAGAATC